CTCGACGAGGATAAGTAAAGTTAGTTGGCTGCGAGAGCTATACAAATTATAGCATTTCGTCCTAGATCCGTTGGAGAACTCATCTCGCATAGGATTCGGTAGGAAGAATGATCCATCACCTAGTGACTGAATCGTTAATAGATCTTTCGAGACTGTGTTTTAATATTGTATTTAGGTCGAAAGCAATTTTCATTTTTCTACGCTGCATAAATTGGAAAATTTGAGCTTTTTAGAGAGGCTAGTTAATGTACCTTTCGACAAATTATATAATCGAATATTGACAAGATTTACGCAAGATTTATGCGTTGATCTGGCATTGAAAAAACGAGTAGTAATGTTAAGTCAATAAGATAGATGCTACCTTTGCGAACTGCAAATTCATGAGAATATTTCGCAATAATAATTTTTCGTAATATTTACTCCATAAAATCAAACTAACGTACAGAACTTTACTTGTGAAATATTCCTCGTATAATATTCCACTTCCTAAATAAAATTTCTATTATTATCTTCCCAGTAACGAACAAACGGTTGTTCAAGTTAAAAATTCGACCGTTTCTGTTTTAAAATATGCTACGACACGGTAGAGAACAGGTATGAGCTTATATTAGCGTAGTCTAGTTGGTCTTGCCGGTTGCCTACGTAGGCAATTTCATATAATTAGCATGTTTGCGTTCCAGTCTGATCTAGCTGAAGTATTATTAATACTTGCCACAAAGTAATCGCAAACCTGTCTTCATGCAATGCATACTTATGCAAGTTACACCAAGCTTTCATTAAATGCCGATTTACTTCTTCCAAAATACATTGGAAAATTTCTCACCTCGTTCATATACATTAAAAGAACTTTGTGTCAGTTTGGCAAATATATTCAAAGTGTTTTCAATCACGGATAATGACGTGTCTCAAATTTCTCCTTTTATTATCGAAATGACGCTACCTGGAAGAATAAAATCTTCCTCTAACGATGAGGTAAGTATCGTTTTTCTAAATTACGATGGTAAATGATAGTGTTTACCAGTTTCCGTGCGCTTTTTACTGTGTTCGCGTGTACAGACGTCGCTAATCAGCACCAGTAGACGCCGCTTATAAAAAAGCAGGAAACCTGCTTTCACTATGTATGTGGCCCCAGGCGCTATTCTACTACTAGTTATAAAGTAACATTTGTTAACTTATGGTTTGCCAAACGCAACCAGATTACTTTAAGACCGATGGAAAATCTATCACAGGACTTGCTTGTTTCTTCTTACAAAACAGTGTCGAACAGAAAGCAAATATTTCCTTCTTTTATCTTTTGCCGACGGCCATAGTCGACGACCGAAGAAAAGTACAGCGTACGAGAAAAAGCATTATCTTTTGTACAAATGTCGTCTTTCGCGCTTCACTGACTCCGAGAGGGATAGAAACGTTCGACTCGCGAATCACGGTTCATTTTAAGAATCATTACTGTAAATGACGTTTCGTCCGATTCTACCGGTCGCGTCGGCACCGTTAAAAAATTCCTAACTACGCGGCATACAACACGAGAAGTGCAGAAATATATCGGACATCGTGAACCAATCGACTGTAAAATATCGCGTACAGATGCATCACCGTCGTCTCTGAAAGGGTTACACTTCATCGTGGTTATCTAGTCGGACGAGGCTCGTTCGGCGCGTGACGCGTTGCATTCTACACGAAACAAAAAGTATCCTATTCCGAAAGACGTTCTCCGCAATCAACCTCGCAGCAGTTCCCTCAGAAAACACCCAATGTCATTGTGGTCGGCGTGCTCCGTCATCGACGACCGTTCAGCCAGGGAGCCCACGGACTCCGATTGTCTCTGAGACGCGAAAAATCGTCCTTAGAACATTAAGTGGCTCGAAGTGTGCAAGATTAGAGCTGCCGGTCGGGGCTGGCAAGAACACGCGTAGGTGTAAAAATGTCTTGGCGGGGAATCGTCACGCTCGGTTGACCAGTGTCCATCCGGACGGACATCCTGCGGCGAAGGGTGATGGCTCCCCCACACAGAGGCTCGCGTGGAACAGAGGAATTCTCCGCGGTCGTCGGTCCATCGGGGCCCGCGAGCTCTTATCCCCGTCGCCGTCTCTGTCGCGGCTCCCGTGGGAGAGGCAAATTCCGCTCGGTAATTATCCTGACGCGCAACATTTGTTAAGCCGCTGTCACCCGGCGGAACTCGTCCGTCTCCTGGAAAGAGGCGTCGTCCGCGACCTGGTCGACAAAGGGCCCCGTTGATCGGCCCTGACGCCCCGCACCGTCACGTTACAAACTTACTCCCGTGGACGTTCAGGTTTTTACACTCTGGACACGCCGTTGTCGCTCGATGAAGCAATATCCCGGCGGTGGATTCATCGACCACCGCACAATTCATTTTTAAACATATACTTTAACATCTCCCGCAGAATAGTGGAGAGCAGAGAGAATATATTTTCGAGTTATCGTGGAAAACACAGGAGTTTTGATCGTTGAAAGAATAGTCATACCTCGATTATTGCAAGAAATTGGGGTTGAACTTTTCAATTTTTTATAATTCAAAAACATTCAAGGAGGTAATTGTCTTTTGTTATACTCTCTTCTATTCTCCAGGAACAATTTTCGATGTATTCTCGTTCGGCGTTTGGAATCGTAAAAATATACATATTTCTAAAAATTCACGTCAGGGTTCGACGAAATAATAAACGTTGGACAGTTTGCGTGAAACCGGATACATTATAATTCATCGTGCTCCGATTTTAAGCACCGTTTTATCCAAAAAGCGCGCGGTTCCCGTTGGGTCGCTTTGTCGGCGCGCGTCTATCCCGAAGTCCGACGTTTCTCTTCGTCGAAACGAGCCATAGTGCTCGATGATGCATCGTCGCGATAAGGCTCGATATAAATTCCCTTTCCGCGCGGCGCCCGTAAATATTCGCGCGTGAATTACGGTTTCGCGCGTACGTTGAAAAGAGGGGGCCCGACGCGGCGGGAAAAAGGACGCCGAAGGTTGGAATCAAGGTGGATGCGCCCGTAAATCGGAGAAAAGGGGTACGAGAGCGACGAGGCGGCGGCGATTACCGAAGCGTGCGCCGGCTGACGACAATAAAAGGCCTTAAACGCGACGTCGAGCCGTCGTTTCCCGGTCTAAGCGCGACGTTGATAAATAATCATTGGCGTATAGACGCGAGCATCTACATGCAGGTGTACGGCCGAGGGCCTGGTTGCGCGCCGCGACACCTGGCGCTGATTAACGAATCGGGGAATCGGTTCTGGTCGGGTAGAAGGCTAAGTGGCCGGCTAAATTGCCGCGTTATTCTTGTAAACCGCGGCATCCCTGACTATCCAATTACCGGACGAGGTGGCAAGATGTCTCGTCCCGGGATACACGCGTTCCACCAGCGACTCGGAATCGCGGCTTTTTTAACGCCGCCGACACCATTAAGGGCGGCTAATGAGCACAGGGGAAAAATTAATCGGTAAATTTCGCGTGGCACCGAGAGCCGGCTGCAAACCGCCTTCCTTCGCCTTCGGGATCGCCGAATGTAACAAGTATCGTTTCGCGGCCGATCTTAACGATCGTTCCTCTTACGCGTCGTCACCGTACCTCTGCAACATATTATTAATCGAGCCTCCGAATCGACGGTCCTCTTCGAACGCGTACGCATGGTACAGCGAAATTATTAGGTCGAGTAATAAGCACGTACGAATTTTTCTTTTTTAAAAATACTTTACCAAAGGTACGTGGCTAAATGACGGTACACGCGGACTCGTGTTTCTGTATCTTTCCACCATGATCCACAATCAATGATACACGAAGTTTCCTTTTTAAATAAATTATGTGTACGAATACAAGAAATAAATACTTCTTATTAGTGGGGTATTGAGTAATATCTATATAAAGTGTGAGGAGTAACAGGTGTCCAATTACAGAATTATGTTGCGATTTTGAAAAGAATTTAAAATAATGCCGAATATTTAGATTCCACCGTTATGTTGTTAACGTTTAATCGCATCGAAGGAGGATCATCCTGATGTCAAAAAGTTTATTATCGATGTTGTAAAGTAGCCACGACGATATCTTATTTGTCCGCATGTCGTCGTTACCGCTAGACGCGGTTGCAATAGAATTTAAATTTAACCAAACGCTTTAAATCTTGATACGGTGACAGAATATCGATCAAACGCAACCCGGTCGAACGACACGCTGGGCAAATAATAGAAAAAGAACGAGGAATGACAAGGAATACCAGAACAAGAACTAACGGGGGATACCTAACATCACCGATCGTGTAATACGCTTATCGTCGCCTGCTGTCTTTACGATTTCGTTTCCTCTTCCTTATTATTTCACACGTGTAATTCGTTGCAACAGCTGCGTTCTTCCAATATACGCATCGAACGGCTTTCTACGATTTTTTCAAATTGCTCTAACGGCGACTAGCTACAATTCGCGATGACATAATACTCGATTTCGTCGAAACGTGGAAATCTCTTCTACACCTACTTCTTTCACAAAATAAATATTTCTTTACGTTTTGCTTATGTAAAGAAAAGAAAAATAATATTTACAATTTCTGTAATATTATCCAGTGTATCGAATCTTCGAAGAAACAAGAAAATAACAATAAAGTGTTTGTACGAAAATAAATTACAACGTTGATAGTTTCGAGCGGGGTCAAGTTGCGTAAATTGACAAATTGTAAACGTGGAAACCGTCGTAAACAAAGCAGTCTATTACCATCGAAATCGCTTGGAGATGACATGAATTTAAAAAGTCGTCTCGCGTCGCGATGATTTTGGCGAAATATTTTAAAATTTTATCGTAATAGTCCTATTATCCAAACACGTGCAAAACGTTTTCAAAATTTCACATGAAGATTAAATGAAAAATCGCGAAGGAATTCGAGTTTCGAGCACCGACGAGGTATCCTGGCCCTGGTCATCCTCGCACTCTTTAAGAATTTCCTGGATCCTGGATCCAGACGAGTTGATTACAATTCGCGGGGAACGAAAAAGATAGCTGGAAAATGGGAAAGCAAGTGCCGAAGATGTCGACCCTGGTGGTTAACGCGATAAAAAATATGCGCGAGGTACAGGGCTCCACGTCCAAGGAAATCATAAGCTACATCACGTCACAGTATAGCGCCCCAGAGTCAACTATACAGAGACAGGTATAAGGTCTTTAATTGTTTGGTCTAAAATAAGATTAAACGTCGTAAAAAGACGTGATTTCAAACGGGTTATAAACGAAGTAATCTAGTCCATTTAATTTTCATATATAGTGTACGAATACGAGCGAGAGTAACTGTACAACGTAACGTGGATAGGCAGCTAGGTAGACGAGCAGTAATTAATTCAGTTTAATATTTGCGTATAAAGGTGCTTGGAGTGTTCTGCTACAAGAATGCGTTCAAAATGATTCGTGATAAATATCGTACAGTAGACACTTCGCGGTAGTTAATTCCGCAGGAACGTTTTACTGCGCGAACAGTTTCGCGTTAATGTCCGCCGAAACACGCAGTAAATATTCCCCGTTCGGTTACATCGGAGTAAGCTCAACGACTCTGCAAACTACGTGCATCCAGCACGGAGTATGGCCTCTCAAACTAAATTACGTTCTCGTTCCGATTTCCTCGAACGTGCAATTTACATCGGAATCGTTTCTACAGATGCAAGTGGCCCTGAAACGCGGCCTGGACTACGGTATCCTGAAGAAGAACAACGGCCACTACTTCCTGAACGCGGACGCGGATGTGCCGCAGATCGCGTCGAGCCTGGCGCCAGCCGAGCGATCCAGACGAAGAAGAACCAAAAGAAAGCGAGGCAGAGGAAGGAGGAGGAGGAGGAGCGGACAACGAAGGGGTCGACGACGCAGCCGTGGAAAAAGGCGTAGGAGTAGACGAAGATCGTCACGAAGAAGAGGGAGGAGCGGTAGAAGGAGAACCGCGAGGACGAAACGGGTGGGTTGCACCAGGTGCAGGTGCATCTCCAAGAGAATCAGGAACATGCAGGCCTTGGCCAACGCTTCGTTGGAACCACAACTCCGGGAGGACGACATGTGTGTCTGCGACAAGGAAAGCGACGCGGAGCGTCGAAGCGGGCACAGCAAGAGCAAGGAACGCAGCCTGAGCCGCAGTCGATCATCGGCGAACAGCGATCGAGATGGCGCGACGGACGATCGACAGGAGGTTCGCGGTCAAGATTAATGCGCCCGAACCACTTGGTTTATGCTTTATACGCGTGCATCGTTAGCAGCGACAATCTCTCAGCACGTTGTCAGCATCGTTCGACATTCCCCGCGATACTCGACGAACAAAACTAATTATAAGGTGTCCCGAAATGCGTTGTTCGTCGCCTCGGCCTAAATCGTCTACGATTTTCGGGCACTGTCGACGAACCGTCCATTATTTTATAGAAATATTGTACCATTTTATTTTACCGTCTTTCATAATAAATTGTCGTGTGTAGAGTCTCCGGCTGCTTTACAATATTGTTATTTACGGATTGCAAAAAATCTTCAAACGTTTTCGAAGGGTGGAAATATTTATCTCGCGGATGAAAGGAGGAGATTTCTAGGCGTAGAAGAATTACGATCAAGAGCGAGATCCATATGCCCCCGAGAGAACGAGTCAATTGTCGGGGGCCGGACATTTTCCTGCCGATTTTTAAGGGGCAACTTTTCACGGCCGTCCACGAGAACAGCGATGGGTTTCAGGCACGAACGGGGGTCAGGGTCCAGGACTGAGGTAGCCCGAATAAAACCAACGGCCATAACTCTTCCAGCGGCGGGGTCAAGGTGGGTTAGAAAGGATCGAGAAGTGATTAGTGGTATTTACCGGTCCCCACTGAGAGAGAGCCTGCCGATTCCCGGTACAGCTCGGACGTCCCGCGGGGTCTATCGTAAGCGTCACAATACCGCGATCTAACTGCTCCCTATTCTTCGTCAGGACTCTCTCGGAGGTCGCCGCGACACTGCCAGGGGAATTCATCAGCCGATATTAATGCGATTCTAACGGTGAGCATCGGTATCAAAAGAGTTCTCTCCGCGCGACGAAGAACCGTTCGTTTTCCATCCGTGCCCAAACTTCTACGGAGGTCCAGAGCTTCGGTCGTCCGGTGAAAAGGACCCTGCCGCGGGCTCCACGAAAGGCTATCTCGATCTACGCTCGCGGGGAAACCATATGTCGCGTTTCGCACCGATTGTGTCGGGACTTCGTGACTAAACAGCAAATAACTATACGAAACTTTTCTTCAAAGATTTAACAGTCTTGAATATGTTTTCGAAAAATAGAAAGAAAAATAAATCGAATTTTGGAAGGTGCCACGGAGGATCCTTTTCCATGGTAAATGACAGCTTCGCGTGTTCGTTTAATTTATAAAGTTACTAGTATTAAGATGTTCGTTGAGCTCAAACGGAGAACCTAGTTCCAACGATATTGTGATTTATCGCAAGTATAGTAATAAATCTACCTGTCTCGGAAAATACAATAACAGCTTACTTTCTTGTGTTTCGAGCTCCGTTCAGCCACTCGGTTTGCACCGTGCAACGACGGAGACACGAATCGAGCGAAGCAGTGGCTTTAATTTGGGTCCGTTGGCTGGCAGTTTCGGGGCCCAGCATGCAGCCCATTGTGCGCGATAACGAGTAAACGGGCCGCGCGTTACGACCGTTCCCTCGCGTGTGCTCTTCGTAACACGGGTTATTATTTGGAAACGGAGACGGTAGAGGGGATATTCCGGGCTGTTAATGAGCCGAGCAGACTTATGGAAGCTCGATAACTCGGTATCCCACGATTACGACCTTGAGAATTACGATCACCTGCGTTTCCACCCACGCTCGACATTCTGCCAACAGGTGTATCCACGTTGCTCGCGACCGGTTTCCTCGAATCACTCGACTCCGAGCTCACTCGTCTCGATTCCCTGCAGCTCGCGATGCCATTTTACGAGGCTGAAAACATTCCTCGCTCCAGATTTCCCTCTGGCCATGAAAAATATATGGGGAATATATTACGCGCGTCGGGATAATACACCTGTACCGGAGATATGAACTTGCCCGTTATCGATATTCGTTCGATACCGATTTTCTTCTCCTTTGCATATTGATTGGTTACGAAATGATCGGGGAAACGTTCAAGAATTTAGTTGTAATCAAGTACCGTCGAACGTAGAAATCGAAGAACCTTTTGGAGGATGTCGAACGCGATTTTATCAAAGAAACAAAGATTTCTTTACGTAGATATTTTCTGGTATCGAATAAATTAAAAATGAAATACGCCGAATCGAGGCTCGTGTGATCTTTCAGAATCTTCGTCCCGAGGATACGTTTCTATCCCGCGAAACCCTTCCTCGTGATTCCTGGAAGAGAGATCGTTTCTGTGAGCGCCACCCTGAGCAGAACGAACTTCATTCTCGTTTAGTACCATGGAACTCGCGCCGTGGTTGTTCAGCGCATAAGTCAAGGGTCGAGCAGCGATAAGATAACAGTGCAGAGGGAGGCCCTCTTCTTCCCGTTCGAGCGTTACGCCTTATTTACTATTTAACGAGCGCCTCGCGAGCACAGCTACGGAGAGACCTCGCGGTCGCCGATAAGGGGAAACGGACAAATTGAAAGGGGGATAATTTGCAGGAGGGTGGCGGACTAAAAAATTCGTGGTACAACACGCCGCTGACAAATTTACGAGTTTCGAGCTGAAAGACCCGTTATCGTTTCGTGTCCCTTCGCCTTCGGTCCTTCCTCGCATCTTACAATTAGTCCGCGAGCAGGTCTCTCGGTTCAGGGAAGTGCTCTGCAGCCCGCCATACTCGATTTTTAAGTCGAATCCCAGAAATCTCACTTTCTTCGCAAAGAAGATTAACGCGTACGCTTTTCCAAAGTGTGACGTAAAATTTTTAACATTACAAGCAATTCGTGCCAGTTAACGAGATAATTACCGGTCTAAAAATTGAAAAGTATCTTTGTAATTCCCAGTATACGCGAATTGAAATACCACGGAATCGACTTATAATTATCATTATAATTATTCGTCGAACGACCGAGCCGCAAAACGAAGGAACTTGTGTTGCACATTCCCGTGTCGGTTAATGTCCGTGACTCGATGCAGTGACCAGACAACTCTTGCATATTCCTAGCGCGAGCGAGCTAATGTGTTGCATAGGGTTTTTATGGCAGGTGGATTATTGAAAACGTGACAGTTTCGATTTATAAATCCAAGCAATCCATATGCTGTGTTTGTAATATTAATGATGTTTGGGAACAAGACGAGCGATCATCTTACCCTCGGGTCGCAGACATTACCCACGGAGAGATGCTTGGAAATATTAGGGTTACCGCTTATAACGTACAGCATTAATCGATATTATTAACGACGCAAAATAATTCCAGATCATCCAGTCCCCGAGAAAATAATTACCATTTCACGGAGCTGATCATCAAAATTAATGATACCGATCGATCCAACCTGTAATTTAATTACAATTTTCCTGAAGATCGTACGACGCAAGTTTAAACTAACATTATTTTTTAAATGCTTTAAAGGGAAGTAAGTAAAATAATTCAGTTGAGATTGAGAGTCCACTTAAGGGTTAAAAAGGAAAGTACCTAGCATTCCAACGAGCGTAAGAATTTGTGACTTTCTTTAAAATCCATTTGCAGATCAATTAGGATAACTCTGTCGCGGCGAGGGCCCGGCGATCTCGAGGTCTAGGTTAAAGCAAGTTGGAGACGCGAAGACAGTACGAACGGAGATATCAGCCGGGGATCTTCGAGCGCCGAGTGCGAAGTAAGAGCGTGAAGGGAAACGAGGCAAAAAGTTGAGTTAAGCGCGAGCGACGAAGAGGCTTGACCTATCTGAAGACAAATCGCGGCCGAAATCGTTTCTGGCTGTTTAAACGAGGAGAAACACGAAACGGTAAGAACCGAGACGCCTGGACGTTTCGTGGTTCAGCGGAACGGGGTCTCACGGGACGGCCGAGTCATCCGCGACGTGAATCCTCCTAAACGACGAAGAGAGCCGAGGCAGGAAGAGCGGCTGAGAATCTCCGCGATGCGATCTTTCGCGCACGATTGCTCTTATGGCCGCGGTACGAAACGGTGGATCGAGGTGTCAGCCGTGTTCTCACGTGTACCGACCCGAGAGATAGCGTCACCCTGGCATTACGTGCGATATCATTAAGGTAGATTTATGTTGTACGCACCAGAGGCAGCTCGGGGTTAGGTTAGACGTTAGACCATACGCTACATGAACCGACTACGTGGAAGCTCGCGTAAACGTGTATTGAAACGTTGCTCCTAACCGATAGACGCTTTGGTTAACCCTCAGGTAGTTCGCGCTGTCGCTGGCCAGTGATTCTTTCCAAAACTATTCTAATTAGAAAAACATGAGACAGAAAAAAGCTTTACAGTATACAGAGTGAAGCGCGAACTAGTCCTCAGAGTCCACTAGTCCATTTAAAAATATAACAGCAACCTTAATTTTTCATCTAAAATCAATTTGTTTCTGAATTTAAACAACTGCAATTTCTTGTCGGTTAAATTTCGATTAACTACGATAGGAAACATTTTTTCTTCACGGTACACGTGACGTATACAGCGAATAAGGGGCAAAAGGATGTCTCGAGTCCGTAGGAACTCGCCTAATCCTGTCCAAGCTCGAAGAATTTAATTAGTCACCACCTTCGTGGCTAATAGAGCCCAGACGACATGCGAGAAACTTTAATTCGAGCGATCCGCGCGACCAGATAACCGACTGTAAACTACCGGGTGCTCGAATTAGGCTACGCCGATGATACGAAATCAGCAGGTGGCGATCTCAGCCTCCGATTACTCCTCGTGGGTCAGCGGTAGTCCTCTCGTAGCGCGGTAACTAGCGCGGAATCTGCACCACCTCTAAATACGACCGTTCTTAATTGCGTCCCAGATTCTAGATTAAACTCGGCCCTTCTCGCATTGTTTCGTAAGAAGACGTCTACTAACGAGCGCGCGACACTTCCGCGTGAATTACTCTGACTCTCGTCGTATCGGCGATGTCCAGATGCTTATCGAACCCTCGTTTCGTCGATCGCTATACGGTACCCGATGAACCGTCTCGGGCAAAGTGGAACGTCGCGGAGATGACTTCTAACAGAAAGTCGTCTTAATTATCGGTCGAATCTCTTCTTTCGGATGCTGCGGGACATCTGCGCGTGAATTGAAACCTTCTCAAAG